GTCAAAAACAACTATTGTATATTTTCCCATCACTTCATTAGATAATATGTACCCCACCATAAAATTCTTCAAAATGTCTTTTTCGGAGGTTACTGTATATTTATAACTCTTTAGCCAGGCTGCTCTACCCAGCCACCACTCAGTAACACTCTGAGGAGAGTCTTTCTTCAACATCTTCGAAGCAGTTTTAAGAGGCCATCTTCATCCCTTGAACTAACAGGCTCTGGCAAGGAAGCGGTGCAGCCTGCCCCTTGCTTCTCCATCGCGCCTCACCCTCCAGACACAGGAAGGAAGGCAAAACCATTTCTCTCACTCACTCCTTTCCAACCTCCCCATTCCAATTGGTTACCCACACAGGTCTGCAATCCCTTTACTTATGTAAACATTTAATTTGTTAAAGAAAAATCTTTTTTTTAAATAAAGATTTAATTATTTCTTATTGGAAAGGGAGATCAGATTTACAGAGAGAAGGAGAGACAGAAAGATCTTCTAGCCACTGGTTCATTGACGAAATGACGACCATGGCTGAAGCTGAACTGATCCGTAGCTAGGACCCAGGAGTTTCTTCTGGGTTTCCCACATGGGTGCAGGGTCCCAAGGCATCGGGTCATCTTGCACTGCTTTCCCAGGCCACAGGCACAGAGCTGGACGGGAAGTGGAGCAGGCAGGACACAAATTGGCATCCATATGGGATCTTGGTGCTTGGAGGTGAGGTTTTAGTAGCCATTGAGCCATCATAGCAGACCCTATAAATAAAATCTTAACATTTTTGTTCAATTAAAGATTTTTCCACTTAGGATAGAAAGAAGAATTTCTGGATGATTTGGGTGTCCCCCCCAAATAGTAGACTTTGTTTTGTGTGTGTGTGTATGTTTGGAAGGCTGCCATTTGGGGACATTGACAGTGAATATCTTGACAATGCTTAGTACTAGTGTCTGCACGTGTTATATGTGCTAATTAATATTTAACAGGAAACAAAGCATGAAAGTTACATAATGGTGAGGTCATGTTAAGATTCTCAATGCAACGCTAGGGTATTAGAATTGCTAGGGTCAAGGTTGTATTATGACATTAGTTATGCAAGAAACAGTCTAGTAAGTCACAGAACATGGAGTTTATAATTAACCAGTTTCTACAATCCTTTTGTTCAATGTAAGTGATAAAAGTAACTGGAGGTGAACAAAGGGCATAGAAAAGACATGGACAAAGATTTTCTCTACTATGTTTAGTAGTTCATAATACATTCAAGCTTTCATAAGAAGGAAATGAATGGATACTTCTGGACAGCCAGGAGAGAGCACTTCCTTTCATGTTTACTGAACCTTCATTATTAAGATTTTTCTGTTCACCTTTGATTTTCATCAATCTGACTTTGTCACTTCTACTTATAGTTTCTTTTTTTTTCTGAGCTTCTTCATGTTACAGATTGATATTTTTCATGAAGTGGGGGAAAATTCCTTCATTATCTCTTCCAATATTATTTTCTGCACTGTTGTCTTTTTCTTCCTCTTTGAGGATTCCAATGATACATGAGGCTACACACAGTTCTCTGGGACTGTGATCCATTTTTTTTGTTTGTTTGTTTGTTTCCCTTTGTGACTCAGTGGGGATAATTTCTATCAACCTGCCTTCGAATTCACCTGCTATTTCTGTGTTGTGGCCATTGAGTGACTATGTAACTTTAAATATTTTACAGGTCTGCTCTAAAACTTAGAGTTCTCTCCTGAACTGTTCAATCCGTTCACCAACGATTTTCATCTAAGCCTTTACTTTTCTATCCTAGGTAAAATCGTTATTTAAAGCTTTTGATCATTTCAACTTCTGGATCAACTGTGGTTCAATTTCCTTTGAGTAATGCTCCTTTGTTTATGCTTCCCAATTCTCCATGTCTTTGGATGCACCGTGTGTGTGTGTGTGTGTGTGTGTGTGTGTGTGTGTGTGTGTGTGTTCATTCTGTAACATTCTGTAAGATTGTAGGGAATCACATACCATGTGCTATTTCCCCATGAGGGACTGATGTGTTTACTAATACTAGCAATTAAGCTAAGGACAAGTTGGATGGGAACTCAAGACTGTCTTCACTTCTCACTAGTTTTCAAGGCTTTAAAGTATCAAAAGACCCTCCACTTGGGTTGAGCATCCTACCCAAGCTTTGTGTAATCATGATATGATTTTGTAGGTTTGTGCATTCCAATCCTGCTTCGAGGCTTTTGGGCCACTGGTAATCTCTGTTTGCCTTCATTCATAGACACAATTGCTCACATGATGTTGAGAATTTATAAATTTTGTAAATTCAGAACTGATGGAAGGATGTGTTTTCCATTCCAGGGCTTCTAAGTATTCCACATGCCACCTTATCCTGGCATTGTTAGAAGTCCCGTGGGTTTCTCCTTTCTGCTGGAAAGGTTTGCTTCTTCACCCTTTCCTGACAGTAGGTCAAGTGGAAATGACAAATCTCTGTCTGAGATTTGGTTTCTTTCCCTTTCGACATCATCACAGTAGGCATTGATTCTGTGCTTTGATATTTGTTTCCTTGTCTTGATGGGAGTGTTGACCACCTGACACCCTCTCCATCAGAATCAGAAGCAAAACCTCCAGGGGCTTGCGGGTGTTTTCCACATTTATAAATGTGTTTGAACCTGGAATGTGCTTTTTCTTTTTAATCAAAATAATGATCATGGCAGCATGGCTGGGCTTGGAAGAATATTCACTTTCCATTTCACACTGAATACAATGTGTTTCCAAAACATATAGACATCCTAACATCTTCTTTCCTTTTAATATCTTTTCTAGGCACTGCCTCCCAAGAAAACTGTGAGACCTGGCCTGGCTTTGTTATTTAAAAGTGGTTTAGATAAATTCTTAAAAACAAGTAGCAATAATATACATCTCATGTTTTTTGTGAATGTTTACTGAGCTGATAATGATATTAACTTAGTATGCAAGGTAACTTTTACCTCTAGTATATGGACATTCAGATATAAAAAGAGAATTGACTCACTCTAGAGTACAAACTCGCAATGGTAGAACTGGATCCCAATGGTCAAATTCCTACGTTACGTGTTTAATAAAACTAGTCTGGAAAAGACTAGTGTAATAGGTAGGAGTTTTATGCTAGTTTTTAAAAAAATATTTATTTATTTATTTTGTTGGATGATAATCATTTAAGAATAATTAAAAAAAATGTTACGATACAACTCCATATGCTCTAGGGTTTCCCTTACTCCCTTCCTGCATTCCCTCCTTCTCCAACTGATTTTCCCTATATTATTACAATATTGTAGTCCTTTATAAGCAGTCATAAGTCCATCATTCTGCTATTTAAATGTATCCTGACATTGCTGGTAGAGAAGATGGCAGAGAGAGTCCAGCATCCTGTTGTTAAGATATATTAAACATACATATATTAAACAAGATATATTTTGTCGGGAGTCCATCTTAAAGAAAAGGCCAGAATAGAAATAGATGCAATTATTGTTAATAAAATTTGTTCAAGTTTTTTTTTTAGAGAATGGCTGAAAACAGGTTTCTGACTCTGTCTTCCTCTCCGTACAGCTTATGTTTTCTTATCACAACGGGTGTTGGCAGTCAACTAGCCAAATGAAAACTACAGGCTGATTAAGGATCTGTTTTGTCAGTAATTTGTGCCTAATGTTTTTAGCTTTCCCATGGGCTGTTGTAGAAAATGGTAAATCTGGTTTAAATGAAACTTGATCCTGTTAATGACTTAATAGCAGCTGCCACAAGGTTATAGCATTTTTCAACAGATGTCTCTGTTTGGTTTTATACTGAAACTAAATGTTAGGATATTTACATAAATTAAGTAAAACATACCTACATACCTTTGATTTAATGTAGTGTTGCAATAGGGTCAGGTATATTCCTAATTCTGTCTATTTTAAATTCTTCACAAATAAGGTTTGAAAACCTAATTATCTTTTAGCTGAAATTTTATTTGTACCTTGTAATTTCCTGAAATGATTGTTTCTAAAGGTCAGTGGACAGGCTCCATCTTTATATTTTGGAACTTTAATGGTGAATTGGCCAATTGGATTATTCCCTTTGTTTTTACACTTGGTGCTATTTATTTAGCACTGACAAATTACGGCCAAAGTTATGTGCATGGAGGCGGGTGGAGAGGCAGGCACAATAGCTCAAGTGGTTAATCCTCCACCTCAGGGCAATGTGATCTCTTATGGGCGATTTGTGTCCTGACTGCTCCACTTCATCCCGCCCCCTGTTTATAGTGTGAGAAAGCAGTGGAGGATGGCCCAAATCCTTGGGACCCAGCACCTATGTGGAAGACCAAGAAGACACTCCTGGTTTCTATTTTTGGATTTGTTTGTCTTATGGCAGTTGCAGATATTTGGGGAGTGAATCAGTGGATATAAGAACTTTTGCTCTGTCTTTTCTTCTCTCCATAAATCTGCTTTTTCAATAAAAACAAACAAATAAATAAATCTTCTTTTAAAAATCAGGTGCATTATATTGCCAGTTAAAATAACAGGAGTATCGTTTCTCGGCCTTTTGGCTAAGATCAAGTGTAGAGTAACCGGAGTAGTCATAGTGAAATAGGATTTTTTTTTTCCTTTATGAGATGTACTGACACATCAGGATTAGTTTCTCTGGAGTGCAATAGTTTGACCACTATAAAACATTTGTTCTGTGCAAAACACTTTCTCTGGGTATGTGGATGTTATGAAAATGATTGACAGCAGGTGCAACAGTGAGGATAAAAATGGGTATGCAACAGAATAGCAATGCAAGCAAAGAGGATTGAAAATAAGGAATACTATGTTAATGAACACACCGCATGACTGAATTCTAAAGCAAACTGTTGAGCTGGCAGGGTCCAATTGATTGTGTCATTTGGGTGGCATTTCCAGGGCAGCATGGCTGGGCTTGGAAGAATATTCACTTTCCATTTCACACTGAATACAATGTGTTTCCAAAACATATAGACATCCTAACATCTTCTTTCCTTTTAATATCTCTTCTAGGCACTGCCTCCCAAGAAAGCTGTGAGACCTGGCCTGGCTTTGTTATTTGAACTCGTTCTTCTTCGTGGGACATACACTAGCCTTGACCGTGTTGTGGGCTGGGCAGTCTTCCCTTTGTGTGACAACAACTTTGATGTAATAGATGGAAAATTCAAGTGTCCCCTACTCCGTGGACATTATGACCGGAAAGTTGGTAGCTTCAGGGAAATTGAAGACTTGATTTGCCTGGATTTGGACCATTGGCTGGGCAATATTTATTTTCAGGTTGGTGATACAGCTTTATAAGTAGAGAAAGACTCAAAGATTCTCCTATCTAGCCTTTAAATTCCTTTTATGCTATTGAGAATTTTAATAAATCATCACGCAATTGTGGAAATAATTACATTTATTGGTGATTTCTAATAATGAAGATAAAATTGATATGTAGATGTAAGAATTAAAATTCTAGCATTAGCCAAAATAACCTTGAAGATAATTTAATATAGACTTGCATGCTGTGAATGGCCCATAACTGCTGCTTGAATCTTCTTGGTTCAGATTTGGTTTCTCTTGAAGCAGGCTAGGCACCTTCTCAGAGTGCAACAGGACTGGGAATCAGAACTGATCTTCCACCGCGTTTTAAGCATTATCTATTCTATGGTTAGAGAAGAGACAATATGAAGTTTGTTTCAGAAAGCATTTTGTTACTGAAGTGAAGCCTCTGGGGCAAATCATTTGATCATAAGTGATATTTATTTAGATTGAACTGGGTGTGATGATGGTAGGTGAAAGACGAAAGCAGGAACTGGGAGACAGGGTGAACTCAAGCTCTGAGTGTTGGAGCAACAATCTCATCGAGAACATCTACAAATGAACTCCTTAGGACATTGAACAGAGTGACCTGAAGACTTCCCGAGAGGCTCCACCAGGTCCCAACAGCACCATTATCGGCACCCACCCAAACCATAGCACAGTGTCCCCAGTTTGGACTCTTGCCACCTGTCTGATGAGGCAGATATGTGAGTTCATAGCAACAAATTAAAGACTCACATTTCCACAGGATTCAAGTGTCTTTCTTTCTTTCTTTCTTTCTTTCTTTCTTTCTTTCTTTCTTTCTTTCTTTCTTTCTTTCTTTCTTTCTTTCTTTCCTTCTTTCTTTCTTTCTTTCTTTCTTTCTTTCATCTCTCTCTCTTCCTTCCTTCCTTCCTTCCTTCCTTCCTTTATTTTCTCTCTATCCTCCTGTCATTTATCTATATCTGTTATCTACCTATCCACCCATCTTCTTACCACCAACCTCCTTGTCTACTTAACTAAACTGTCAAATATTTTCTGGAAACACATAATTTGTATCTTAAAATCAGTAACAACATACGCATCTGGCATGATGGTGCTCTTGTTGGTTAAGTAGTTTGAGTAGAAGCATCAGAAATGACCTTTCTGCTGCTTGACTCCACTAAAGCATTATGCTGAGGTGTTCATTTGGGACAGCCTAGTTGTGCTAGTGAGAAAAGTGCCCTCATGTGATTATGTATTTTGTATTTATTTTGAAAATGGCATTATCCATAAGGCTGACTTGATTGTGCACTAGAATGGTGGAGAATTTTTTTTCAATATACTGCCTTATCCTTCATGTGCACCTGGATACGGTGGAGAATTTTTGAATGTTTCTGCAAAAGCTCTACTTTCACAGATATTTATTTGTTGGTTTTATGATGGAGGCTCAGATACTAGAAATTGTTAGCACCTACTAAAAATCAAGAACACAGGCTGAGTAAACTTCAAAAAGAAGACTATTGCAAATGAAATGCAAAGAAATTATTGAAAAATACTCACATTTGTTAATAGTGATTAGAATGTGTACCAAGATTAAAAATAAATTGAAAATTAAAATACAACCTACAATGGAAATTTTGTTATAATGATTATGAAATCATGTAATTCTAAATAACCTGCTTTACTATGTGTTCTCTAAAAGTTAATGCTACATAAATAATACCATGGAAAGTATTATAATATAATATATAACAATGTCATATTAACTTTGCTTCATACAACTATTGCTTTGTTACCAGTCAAGAAATGGGCAAAGGAACTAGGCAGAGACTTTTCAAAAGAACAAATGCAAATGGCTAACAGGCCTATGAAAAAATTCTCAAACTCCCTGGCAATAAAAGAAATTCAAATAAAAACAGCTGAGGTTCCACTTCACTCCAATTAGAATTGCCCACATATCAAAAACTACCAACAACCCCTGCTGGCAAGGTTGATGGGGAAAAAAAGAACCTTACTTCAGCGTTGGTGGGATTGCAGTCTGGTACAACCACTATGGAAGTCAGTATGGAGAATATTCAGAAAACTGAAAGTCTACCTACCATATAACCCAGCAGGTTCACTTTTAGGAATATATCCAGAAGACCTGATGCATGAGAAAGCAACCTACAGCCCTGTGTTCATTACAGCACAATCAATAATCGCAAAAACATGGAAGCAACCTAAATGCTCACTAACAGAGGACTGGGTAAAGACTTTAACTGTGGTTCATATACACTACAAAATACTACTCTGCTACTAAAAAAAAAAAAAAAAAAAAGATATACAGCTGTTTGTGGCCAAATGAGCAAAAGCTGGAGACCATTATGCTAAGGGTAATGAGCCAATCCCAAAAGGTCAGATATCTGATGTTTACTCTAATATAAGATAATATGATGTTAAATACAAGGAGTTTAAAAGTGAATTTTACCTTATTGTACTTCCTAGTTATTTGTACCTTTCGTAATTAGATCTTGTGATGTAAGTCATTAATCAATCATCCATATGAGACTGATTATAAACACCTGAGATTGTCAATGTCCTTTTTATCACTGTTATTGCTATTACCTGTAATTAACGATGACCTAGTCCTTATTGCGCTTTCATTAGCACCACACGGGACACACGCTGGCATTTGTTCCTACAGGAAGATGTTGCACACTCCTTTTGCCCAACCTAGCATCATATCGAGACAATTACACAAATGTATTGATGTAAAAATTCTTTTTAAAAAACAGCCATCAAATTTGGAAAACATTTTGCATGGGTCTTTCCAATATTTCAGATCGTCTCTTTCTGCAGAAATATCAGGTGGGTATGTAATATTTTCAGCTGCTTAGATAACAGATTTAATCTCTCAATAGGTCATGAAGCTTCCTTTGCATGTGGATGATCCAAACCAGTTTGAAAATCATACTCAACCTTCCCTGGAATTCCGGGCCTGTTTAACGACAGGGGAAGAGAAAGCAGAAGTGGGTGTGGCTAATCTCTCTGGAAAAGAAAAGGAAAACATTTTGGAATCAACGAAAGAGAAAGCTGAGTTCACCTCTCATTCTTCCCTAGGTTAGTGAACGTCTTACTTATCAATCTGCTTGTAATCATTTGAGGTGTTCTACATTTTGCAAAGCTAGGTACCAGTATTCATAATTTGTGAATGTATTATTTTCTGTATCAGGCCATTTAAAGAGATTGAAACACTGACAAACATATTAATCCCTGCACCGCATTGTGGTTCCCATAAAAAGCAGGTATAAAACTCATACTTAAAACTAAGTATAAAAAACCTTCGTTGAGGCAAAAGGCTTTTTGACACAAGCCTGTTACTCTAAACACAGCTTGCAGGTTTTTTTTTATTTTTTTAAAGATTTATTTTTATAATTTTTTTATTGGAAAGGCGGATATACAGAGAGGAGAGACAGAGAGGAAGATCTTCCATCCGATGATTCACTCCCCAAGTGAGCGCAACGGGCCGATACTATACCGATCCGAAGCCAGGAGCCTCTTCCAGGTCTCCCACTCGGGTGCAGGGTCCCAAAGCTTTGGGCCGTCCTCGACTGCTTTCCTGGGCCACAGGCAGGGAGCTGGAAAGGAAGCGGGGCTGCCGGGATTAGAACCGGCGCCCATGTGGGATCCCGGGCATGCAAGGTGAGGACCTTAACCACTGCGCCACCGCGCCGGGCCCAGGTTTTTTTTTTTCCTTATTGTGCTAATTTGGCTTCTTTTGATTCTTATTTCTAGATTTGAATCGTTCTTGTATGCTTGTGTGAGTGGTAATCAAAGAATTGCCCTAAAAGACAATGTACCCTTACAAGAAGTTCTCAAACAGTTGAGTTTATTTTATAGACATTGTCTGCAAAGACTGGTTTATTTAAGTAGTAGATAAAATAATGAAGACTTTTTTTTTTGGTTATTCAGTCCACAAATGTTTCAATTTCCTGAAAATACTTACAGGACATCTTGAAAATGTCATTGAAAAATATATACTGCATAATTTTTGTTTACATCATGGATTTTAGATTTTGAAACAAAATAAACTTGTCTTTTAATTCCACTTTCCCCCTGAGCTTTTTTTTTTTAAGATTTATTTATTTTCATTGGAAAGGCAGATATACAGAGAGGAGGAGAGACAGAGAGGAAGATCTTCCATCTAATGGCTCATTCCACATGTGGCCACAACAGTTGGTGCTGTGCCAACCTGAAACCAGGAGCCAGGAGCTCTTCCAGGTATCCCGTGTGGGTGCAAGGTCCCAAGGCTTTGGGCCATCCTCAACTACTTTTCTAGGCTACAAGCAGGGAGCTGAATGGGAAGCAGGGCTGCCGGGATTAGAACCGGCACCCCTATGGGATCCCAGTGCGTGCAAGGTGAGGACCTTAACCATTATGCTATCGCGCTGGGCCCCTTGAGCTTTTTGAAGTATCTACACTATTAGAGATGATAATTTCTACTAACACAATGTTTTCTTTACTGAAAGACTTGCAAGTTTCCGTAAGAACTGGATCCTTTAGCAGAATTCGTGCTGCTGGTGGTGGTCGTAGTTTAGCAGTGCCACTAGCAAGGTCTCAGTACCAGAGGTTTTACCAACAAGAGCCCTGGAGTAAGCACAGAAACTGTATTCATAGAATTTTAGTGACATATATATCAAATATGCCATATTTTTAAAGCAAATGCGTGAAGCAGTCGACTAAAATGAGATATCTGTCGAAGCTGCTGCTAAGTGTCAGATGCAGCACAACCCGATGAAAATTGATTGTTTCTCAACACTTTGAAAATTGGTGTGGATTAACAGGTAGCTAGAGAAAACAGGATGTAATGGCATTGCCTGGTTCGGAGTTCAAAAGAAAGTAATCTTCAGAAGGTATAGCGTTAAGCTGATCTTAAAGCAGTCAATATTGAAATTTAATTAAAATGAATGCTTTAGTTTTTAAAACTTAAGTGCTGATACACAAGACGGACAGTAAACAAGTGTATCATTGTACTGTGAGTAGAAAGGGGAGTGGTGTGGTGGGTAGAACAGCAGAGGAACCAGTGGCACCAGCAGCGTGCAAAGGCGCAGGGGGCAGCAGTGTGCGAAGGAGCAGGGCGTGCCACACGGGGGCCTTGGAGAGGCGCTCTGGCCAGTGTTCCAGCTAATCCCGGCTCCAGGCTTCTTCAGAGATGATTCTGTTGATCTTCATGGACGTTGGGGCTATTCCTTCTCCACTCTTTTCCCTAGAATGACTTCTATGTCATGGCTGTATTTTGAATCAAATCAACCTGTTCTATCAAGATGAGTGGCAGAGATAGTCTATGAATGCAGGTGTTGTAATGGTAGCATACCATGTGTGTAGACGTGGCACCTTTGTCTGGGTACACACCTTGGAATTCATGTTGCAAATTTGAGCTCCAATGCAGCAGTGTTGAGAGGTGGGGTTCTGTCTTAGGAGCAGATGAATCTACTCTCAGATTAGTGGTGAAATGTACTGACGGGTTCCTGCAGAACTATTTATAAAAGCCAGGCTGGTCCTCGCTCCGTAGCCTTCTTGCCATGTGTAGGTTGGTACCACCTCAGGTCCCTATGGAGTCTTTTCCAGCATCAAGGCCCTCATCCGATGCAGCTTCATGACCCTTGGACTTCTCTTCTTCGCTCTGATGTAAGAAATCAATTCCTTTTTTTAAAAAATCAACTTCTTTACTCATTAATTACCAATAAAAGATACACTACTAACAATCTGAGTTCCATAAAGGGAAGAAAAAGTCCAAACCTCCTCTGATGATTGGTGTCAACTATCTTAGCTAACATATTGAGGTAAAAAAGTCAGGGAAATGCAGGAAATGGTGACCATTAGCTAAAAAGGATTTAAAAGTCACATCTATCTTTGTTAAATATCAAGTTCAGAAGTCTACTGAACAGGGTGGGTGTTGTCTGCAGCGTGTTCATCTATGGCGTGGGATACCCATGACCATTATCAGGGCACCAGAAGTTGGGTTCTGGCTTCTTTGCTTTGAATGCATTTCTTAACTAATGCATCAGAAGGCAGAGGATCATGGATCGTGGATCAAATATTTGAGTCTTACACCTATGGGAGACTCAGAAAGAATTCTAGACTCCTGGGTTTCACCTGGCTAAGCCATTGCTTTTGTATGGCATTTGAAATAAATAAGCGGGTTTGGGCCTTGGGGTTAGGAGCAATTGCCGCTCCCTGCAGTGTGGTGGCTGTGAGGGATGCCCCTGCCGGGTTGGACCCAATGCTGGGGACTCAAGCCAAAGACACTGTCGGAAGGTAGTGAATGAGTCCTTGGCCTTGGGCGGTCAGTGCACCAAGTGGTGCCAGGCTTTGCCAGCTGGCTGCCTGGAGGTGAACTCTGGGGTTTTTGAGATATGTAGTTGCTGCCTGGGGACACCCATGCATAAGGCCAGTTTTAGTGTAGGTGAGAGGTGAATTTTGTATGATTAGCAGTGACAGGGTCATGAAAGTTTCAGGCATGCGTGGTGACTGAGACCAGATGGTTTGGAGGGAAATATCCATAAGATAATTTGGGTTAGACTGATTCACCAGCCCAGACTAGGCAGGGTTATAACACCTGTGGGCCTCATGTGAGCTAGATAAGGGAAGGACCACAGTGGGCTGACTGTCCCGACTGGTGCAAGCAAAAATTAGAGTGGGTGAGGGTTGGTTGGGCTTAGCCGCAGCATCAGCTGGCAGAGGCTGACACTGGGAGCTAATTCTGTCAAGTCAAATGCCAGAACCACCTGGAAAGTACATAATCTAGGGGTGGGAGTGGCCTAGTAGGAAGATAGTGGGTATCTCCCTTGGGTTACCACTCTCACTGGACAGCACGCAAACCAGGGCAGGGGCAGGCGTGGCTAGAGAGAAAGGCACCCGCCAGTATGTGTGTGGGCTGAAGAGTAGGATTGGTTAGGTTGAACTAGGCTTCAATGCCCATTGATGAGTACGAGAGCTAAATGGGATGTGGGACAGACTGGTCAAGCCTGTGGTACATACTGGCAAGCATGGGAAGCAGGGTAGGGGGCAGAACTATTGGGGGTTATGGGGAGTTGCCCCAACTAGGCTTCAGTTCCAACTGGTTTGCATGAGGACCGAGTATAAAGTGGGTAGGATCAAGCTGGACTACAACACCTGTTGGTTCACGAGGAAGACAGGGCTGGAAACAGAACTGACCCAGCAATTGCAATCACCAGCATATGTGTAAACTGATTGGCACAATGGGCAGTGTTGGACCCTGTACTAGCAAACTCACGCGAGAATCAGATCTGGGAACACCTCAGATAAAGTTTCTTTGGAGATCCCTTCAACTGAACTGCTGATCTCAGAACCCCAACCATGAAGAAACTATGTCAGCCAGTGGACTCTGAATAGGTTTCATCGTGATTGGAATGGTGAGATTGGCAGCAATTCAGAACTGTTGAACTATCAAAACTGCTTGAGCAGTACCCTCGGAGTGCGCCTCACACTGGGGACCTGGGATGGGTGGGAGGCTGGGTGGGGCTTCTCCCTTTGTTTCTCCCCTGACCCCAGGTACAGGGAAAAATGATAATATTAGTATGGAAACAATGGTCTTACCCACTTTCACCCTGTAGCCCTTAACCCTTTATGCCCTAATCAACTAAGTAAGATTATTAAAAAATAATAATAAAAACAAACAAACAAAAAAGGAAATAAATAAGTGGACGGAAGACCTCTTTCTCCATCTCCCTCCTACTTCCCCAACTCCATCCTGTCAATTTGCTTTTCAAATAAATAAGTAAATCTTGTAAAAAAAAAAAAAACCTGTACCATACAGGACATGATAAAGCATGTGAATTTTAAAGTAGACATCTGCCCCCACCCTGTGCTTTTAGATGGAGCTAAAAATATTTTGAGTGAGTTCTGATTTCACTGATAATATTTAGTCCTGCTGACATTTTAACATAATTTTAAGATACTGAGCAAAAGGTTAGAAGCAATTACTCATAGATCATTTTCCATTAGATCGGTTTTGCTTAGTGGCTTTTCCCCTGGGTCTATATTTTCCACACCTAGTACACTGGGCTCTGGAATTGGCTGATGGAACTCTGCCCTCAGTATTCCTAAAAGGAAGGAAGCTGCACTCTAGGAAAGTTCAGCTACCGACACAGTGGGCATGATAACACAACGCATCATGAATGGAAGCATTGCTGTTGTTTTAAGGAAATGCTTTAGTAGGAAGGGTTTTGCCTCTGTGCTTCATTCAAGCTCCGCATTCAAAGTCTACAAGGGACCTTCTGCTCCGAAGCTGAATAGCTTTGTTCAAAAACAGAACATATGCATCTCTTCATTTCTTATATTTATTGATTTTCTTGGAAGCTTCCTGAACATATTATTAGTGCTAAATATCCCCCTCCGGGTTTGTTTCCTAATCTATCAGGGCTATGATACAGTATGGTGTTTCTGCCACTGATATGTTGCTAAGAGATTTAATAATGGGTAAACAAACACAACATGTGGTAATTCATTTCAAATTAAAAGTTTATTAAACTCTGGCTTGATGAGTTTCTGGCTATTTACAATTAAAGGAGCGAACCTTAGGGAAGGGGTAGCCACGTGGCACATTCATGGTTACCACGTTTCTGTCTGAAAAATGTGTTTGTATCTTCCACAAGCTGTCTAATATTGACAGGCTCAAACGTAATCTGTTGAATATACTACTGTCTCCAAATCATGAAAAAGTGACTTGAACGTCTATGTACAAGCAGTGTGCACACCGGTGCTTATGCGTGAACAGCTGCCCCTCTGTACTCATCTTGACACACATACCAAGAGATTCTGAATTTATAACCATTGGCTACGGTTTTAAGTCATGATCAGTCTCAGAGCCCAGAGAATAACTATGAATGGTTGTAAGAAAATATCTGTAGCCTAACTCTTGGGTTATTACTCAGCTTTTATGCTGTTTACTTTCAGTGGGTATGGACTGGGAAGAGTCACTAGGCTTGATAGTTTTGTTGATAGCTTGGACTACACACACACACACACACACACACACACGCTTTGTCATGCACAGTTCATTTCAGCAGTGTCACTGTACAACCATGAACAAATAGTGTGTTGATGTGCCTCACAACCTTCAATAATCCTTGGCGTACCATAAATGTTTATCAAGTAATTAAGGGAATAGTCTCCGTGTGCTAGCTCCTTCTTATGAAAAACGGGCCATCAGCTAGTTTTACCTTCTCAGGGTTACAGTGAAGTGGATGTGTTCCAATATGGTTCTATGAAATTAGGCACTTGCATAGATTTGTGTAATGACCACAGCCACCAAGACACTTGGATTGCTTTTGTTTTCAATGATCACGAATAGAGTGCAATTGATATTCACATGTGAGAAGACTTCAAAAATAATGGAAAAATGGGATCAAAAGAGATGTTTATGTCGGTGCAAGTAAGACCTCTAAAACTGACACATACAGTATGCATTTTCATGAATTTTATGAATTTTCATGTGGATTTCAGAGGGGTTTTTTTTTTTTTGCACCAAAATAAAATTACTTTTGAATTCTGTTTTCCATTCAGCTTTGGAAATCTTTTCTTGCAATGTTTTGTGTGAGCATTGAGTTTATTTTTTTTTAGAATACAC